AAACAACAATTGAACAGCAGGGTGCCTCCTTAGTGTACATTCCCTCCACTGCTTACAAAAGTGCACGTGTTTCCTGTATTTTGGCAATTCGTCTGGATGGCACTAAAATCCCATCTTTAATCATTTCTAAGGGCAAGAAGGAAAAGATTGAACGTGTTTTGGGCGTTTTTATTCTTGAAACTGAAAAAGCCTGGGCCACACAAGCAGTTATAAGTAAGTGGGTTGATTTAATGCTGCTGCTTGTTATGTGAGGGAGCCAAAGAGGTCTGCTAGTCTGGGATGCAGCCAGCACTCACCATGCTAAAGACATGAAGACATTTCTTCACGAAAGAAAAATAGATCAGATAAAGATTCCTGCAGGAATGACTGTCTATCTCCAGACTCTTGATATTGCAATAAACAAGCCATTCAAAGACAATTTGCACATGGAAATTAATGATTACATTGAAAATATAATGGAGAGAAATCATTGTGGAAACTTTGTGAAACCTAAACTGCAAGAAGTTGTAACTTGAGTGAAGAATTCATGGGAGAAAATCACTGACAGTTGCATTGCAAATGCACTGTGAGCAGGCTACCTTAAGAAGAAGTACTCATTTAAAGACAGTGCTATTGCTAAACATGAGAGATTTGGTCCACTGATTCTGAAAGACATGGAGTCACAAGAAATTCACCAGGAAATTTAGGAATTGGATTGTTATAATGATGTTCCAGAAGATGATGACATGATTGTCATTGAATAAATGAGTAAATTCTTGATACTGTAGGATTCACAGTTTGTCTGGTTTGTGTTGACAACTACCGTACTACCGTACCATATACAGGTAATAAATTTCCTTTATTTTCATTTAACAATAAATGTGTACCGTATCCTTCTTCATGGAAAAATAAGACATCCCCTGAAAATAAGACCTAGCGCATCTTTGGGACCAAAAATTAATATAAGACACTGTCTTATTTTTGGGGAAACAGGGTATCTTCAACTTTCTGGATTCTCTTCTCTTCTTGCTTCTCTGGAGGAGTGTTGTCTCTTTGTATTCCAAATCTTTGACTTGATTCTTGTGTTCCTCTAGTCTGCTGTTGGGTCTCTGTATAATATTTTTTATTTCAGTCAGTGTATGTTTAATTTCTAGTTGGTTCTTTCCATATCCTCAAGGGTCTCTTTCATATCCTTGAGGGTCTCGCTAAATTTATCAGCCTTTTCTAGGAAATTCTTGAAAAACCTTATAACTGTGGTTTTGAACTCTGTGTCCAGCATATGTTCTTCTGCATTTCTTTCGTTTATGATTTGTTTCCTTATTTCCTCATTTTCGCTGCTTCCCTGAGTTGGTATGGTAGCTTTGTTTTCTGGGTGTCCTATATGGTTCAATGGGTCAGCCTCCCAGTTACTTGATGTGGACACTCTTGGTGCACCCCTTTGTGGACTGTGTGTATAGCCTTGTTGTAGTTAAGTCTTGATTGTTGTTGGTGTCACTGGGAGGAATTGACCTCCAGGCCAATTGGCTGTGGGGACCTGCTGAATCTTTAATGGAAGAATTGCTGTGCCTGAGACATATTTATGGGGCAGGACTTGTTCCAGTAAGGCTTTGGTATTCACTGAATCTGCCTCTTGAATGTATCCCTTATGAGAGTAGTTGAAATCTGGTGTTGTCTCACACCAACCACTAGATACACTAGTTTCTGGATCTCCAATGGGGTGCAGGTCAGCTGCTGTCTGAGGTCACCCAGCAAGAGCTACAGGAAGAACTATAGTTTTCTCCTCTTTACTTGGGACTTGGTGGTTTTGGAGAAGTCTGACTGGAGCTGCAGTTTATTTCATTAACCTGCCACAGTGCAGGCCATTTATATGCAAAAGCTGATGTGTGTGGGGCAGGGCCTCAGGATGGGGTGGGGTCTCAGAGTGGGGCAGGGTCTCAGGGTGTCACTAAGCTGGAGTGTGGCAAGTAACCTTACATTTCTTAAGTTAAAGCCCACTGTGGAACCCTCCTTAATAAGATCCTTTCCTTTTCTTTCTCCAAGAGGTAACCATAATTCTAAATGAAGTCTTTTATCTTTCCCACACATGCTGGTACACAGTTCCTATGAGCATGCTTTTTACTTCAGAAAATTATATCCGCAATCAATATATGGTGATTAGTTTGCATGTTTTTAGACTTCATGTATGTGGTATTATGTTTGTATCCTTCTTGAACCAGCTTTCCCCCCTTATGCATTTTTCTGCTGCCATCACCTGCTCTCAGCCCCCCTATCTTTCAGCTCCTGTAAGTTCTGCTCTCCACAGTCCAGCCCTTACCGTCCTGTTCAGTTTACCTGCAACAGTTCCAAGTCAGTTAGTTAAGGCTGGTCCTACCTTGGGTGAGGCTCAGCCTCTTCCCCTGTGGCTTTAATAGTGCTTCTCAAACCTTTAAACTAGTCCTTCCCAAGCCTGCACTTCATCAGAATCCCCTGCAGAGCCTGCTAAACACAGGCTGCTGGGCTACCCTTAGAGTTTCTGATTGACTAGGTCTTGGGTGGAGCCTAAGAATTCCTCGGTGATGCTCATGGTGCTGTTTTGGGGACCAAACAACGAGAACCACTGCTCCAAAAATATGTCTGGGCCCAGGCTCAGCAGTGTCATCTGGTCTCCTGGCATGCTGGGCCATCTATGAGGTTTCCTTCAAAACTGTTCTAGAGCCCCTCTGTCTAGCAGACATATAATGCAAGTCACATGTGTAATTTAAAGTTTTCTAGTAGCTGCATCAAAAGAAAAACAGGCAAATTCACTTTAATAGTATATTTTAACTCAATATATTATCATTTAAACAGGTAATCAGTATGCAGTTTATTAGTGAGAATGGTAACACCTTTTATAGTTAAGCACATTTCAAATCAGACAGAGCAGCTCTAAAAGCTTGACATCATCTCTCTTTCAAAAATTGTTTTCACCTTGACATTTTAATTTATTTTGGGCTGCCATAAAATAATTTAAAACAGGCTTACAAAATGTGGAAAGTGATATCTTTTGAAACAAAGAGATAAGAGACATATGAGTTGGGATTATTCATCTAAATAAACTCTGCCTGCATTTCAATTTATTAATTGAAACAAATGTATTTTTAACTAAAACAAATGCTGCCAAATTTAGCTATAAGAAATAAAACTTAGATATCAATGGATAGCACTGTTTGGGTGATGAACTTTAGAATAATATCACTGTTTCATACAATTAACATGGATTTATAAAAATTAAAAACTTAAAAAGAGGAAACAATAAATTATTTCTTCTTTATCTTCTTTCTAGTTCTCCAAACTGCAGGATGAAAAGAGAGAAAATGAACACTTACAAGGCATTAACCAACTCCACTGACTTTCTAAATCTAAGAAAATAGCCCTATGTGTACCTGCTGCATTTGTGTGCTATATCTCAATAAGGAGAGAAGAACAACATGCTTCCCTCTTGCAACCTGCCTTGCAGATCATTTGGTTCTGTCCAAGAGATCTATTGAGAAATTTGGTCCATACTAAGATGCCTTGATAGTTGGTTCTGTCCAGAATGCCCATGCTTAAGAAACATCCTGGATTCAAAAAGCCCATAATGTTTATATACACTTCTGATTTATAGGATTAATACATAAAAATACTATCATGTTTTATTGGTCCAATAATTGTATTCTGGGCAAATTGCCAATAGTAATCCTTCTTGCCTCAGTAGCCTAACTCCTAATGCACATGGAGTTAGGTCGATCACTCAGGGCTCCAATCTTGCAGAAAAGCAGAATTTAAATATCAAGGACTTTTTGGCATAGATCAAATGTCTCTGTGGACTTTTGGACAGGGCCAAATATCTGCTAATTGTAACCTGCACCTTTAGATATAGGGAACTCCTATAACCCATGGCTTCAATTGTGATCATACCAACTTGTCTCCCTTTTGCCTGACACCATAAATGTCTTTTCTTTTCCCTAGAGGCCAAACTGGGATTTAAATAAATCTCTCCACCTTAAAAGCCTGTGCTCACTCCACAAGTGACACTCCCTTAACCACCCAAGCCCTTAGTTTTCCATATCTCCCGTATGAGAGGCTATCTATATATCTAAGAGCCTAAGCAACCATTGCGACTGGTCAAGTAAACGACCAGTCGCTATGATGTGCACAGACCACCAGGGGGCAGACGCTCAACACAGGAGCTGTCCTCTGGTGGTCAGTGTGCTCCCACAGCCAACCTCCCACGGTCCCTCCCTCAGCCAGCTGGCCTGATCTGGACTGGGAAAGATGGCCTTGATCGCCCTATTGTCCACCAGGCCGAGGGACCCCACCCATGCACAAATTTGTGCATCGGGCCTCTAGTAATAAAATATACAGCTATAAATATGCCAAAAAAGAGAGAAAAATTTAATCATTTAAATAATACACAAAGATAAACCTTGAGACTTAATTACCAATTCAGTGATAAACAGTAATCATACAATGACTAAGTTTCTTTTCTTTTGACTGTCACACAAAATGCAAAAATCTACAACCAAAGGTTTAGGTATTAATCATTAAATGTGGTCCTACTTGAAATTAACTTTTTGCTGTTTGTAAGTAGTCCTTGTCTCCTAGTTTGTATAGGAGACCGATTTCTTTTTTAACTTTATTTTTGTTCTTGACATGATTACAGATGTCCTCATTTACCACCCCTCTTTGCCCACCTCCACCCAGTCCCTGCCCCCACATCCCTCTGGCCATCACCATATATTTGCTGTGTCTATGGGTTAGGCATATATGTTCATTGGCTAATCTCTTCACCTTCTTTCATCTAGTCTTCTCCACCACCCTCTCTTTGACAGCTGTCAGTTTGTTCCATGTATCTATGCCTCTGCTTCTATTTTGTTTATCAATTTGTTTTGTTCATTAGAGTCCACATATAACTGAGATCATATGGTATTTGTCTTTAACTGGTTTAGTTCATTTAGCATAATAATCAGAATGTATTTCTATGGCCAAGCAATGAAGGCCCAACCACACAGCCCAGCTACTTAAGCTGCTGTATCTAGTAACTGTTTTCTAAACAAATATTGGCCTTAGGTACTGATATATTTACCATTCGTTAGTCTTTACAGGTAGTAGACAGAAGCCTTCATGAGAACAAATGAGTAGCCATGAAGTTTAGTTCAGTAATAATGTGTTTTATATTACTAGTTGTATGAGTAGTCTATTAACGTTCTAAGTAGATAAAATTGAATTTTAAAGCTAGTTTTAAACAAATGTTTTTTTCTTAATTAATTTACTGGGAGAATTGCTGTCAGTAACAGGTAAACGCCAGAAATGGTTGTATGATATTCAAAGCTACACACAGATACCTGGATTTTCTGGACCTGCTCTCTGCTGGATCCATATTCTTTTCAGGTTCCTGTTTTTTGTTCCCCTCCTCGTTGTCTTCCTTACTTTCAGCACCCTGGGCCTCTTCTTCAGTTGTTTCTTTAGTGAAGAATAAGACAGGCTTTGGGATCAGACATTCACAGAAGAAAATCCCAACTCATAATGAATGGGGACACATATAAACCCTCAGGAGAAGTAGGAGGATGGAAGTAACTAGGAAAAGACTAGCAAGGCACCTTCCTACTAGTTGCTGCAACACTCCCATGGCCCTTACATCTCTGCGGCTTGATCGTTTTCACAGTGACATTATTTCTCTTTTTCTAGTAAACATGAGCTGTTGATGACTTCTGGTCTTTCAGAGAAAAAGGGATCAGGGTAACCAGGGTCTAGGATATTCTGTATGTTCTAATCAGAACTGTCTTGGGAAAATACTTTTGCCTCAGGGACAAATTGTATGGTGAAGCACATTAGTTCCTCAACCCCCTGAATATTTCATTTTTACAAAGTCCTCGGGATCAGTTCTTAATGTTTGGGGATCAACTTTCTAAGAATCTTGACACTTTCAGAAGCCAAGAACCAAACACCAGGTATGCCATTTGCTTGTTCTTTTCCTTCAGGCCCCCCGCCCGTGTCCTCCCCGACTCCCTCCTGAACACCTGCCCCTGGGACAGGCGGACATTGGTCTGTGGGCAGTGAACTGCACGGTCTTAGCAGAGGTCGGGAGAGGACAACGTACTTTCCCCCTCAAGGCGGAGAAGGCCATAATGGAGCTGGGCTTCTCCTCGGCCTGCAGGGTGTTGAGGGCCCCCACCCAGCGGAGAGAGCATGACAGGCCAGTGTGCCAGCTGTGCCACCGCTGCTCATAGGCGGCCCCCCTTTCCCCCCACCCCCTGCCAGGGGCCTCCCTGCTCCCGGGGCCTCACCACCAGACCCTATCCGCTCTGCTCCGCCAGATCCTCACCCTGGGGGGCTTCGGCCTCCTGCGTGGGCTCCTCCTGTGCCTCCTCTGCCATCTCCCCAGGCGCAGACTCCTCCTCCACCTTGGCCTCCACTTTGTCCTCAGGATCTGGGGCAGGGAACCCCTCTCCAGAACCTACGGCTCTGTTGCTGAAGTCCTCAGGCAGCACAGCTGCAGCACCCTCTCCAGAGGCATCTGGCATGCGAATCTGGGCCGCCTGACCTGGCAGGTGATGTCTGGGCAGGATGATACTGCGGCCTCCGTGGGGACGCACGAGGATGTGGTCATTGTGGTACAGGCGGCGCAGCATTGTGCGCACCAGATCAGGGAACACAATGTGGAAACCAGCCAAAGGTAACTGGTTGGGGTCCATCACCATGTTCTGGCCTGGCACCAAGTTCTCCTCCTGCTCCTCCTCTTCCTCCTCCTCTTCCTCCTCCTCCTCTTCTTCCTCCTCTCCCTCCTCCCCCTCCTCTCCCTCCTCTTTCTCCTCAGCTGGGCCAATGTCAGAATCCTCCTCACTGGTGCTGCTTTCAGGGTCTCCCACTGCCCCGGCCTCCTCCCCCAGGCTCTCCATGGCCTCTGCGACTTCTTCGGCCACTATGGCGGCAGCGGCGTCATCCCCGTCCCCCTGGGGCCCGGAGCTGAGGATCAGGGCATCCTGCTCTCCATCTTCCCTGACCCAGGCTCCCACCACGCCCACGGGGCTCTCCTGGCCACCTGGGGCCTGGCTTCCGTCATCGCTGTCAGACATGCCAGCGGACAGTACCTCAACCGGCAGCGATAGGGCTGTGGCGTCGCTGGTCAAGATGGCTGCCAGGGAGAGGAGGCCGCTGACAGGAGGATCATGGGAGGGGGCGGGGCAGTGGAGGAGCTGTCTGTCAAGTGGGCAACGGCCTCTGATAGGCAGGGGTGGATGGCCGGAAACACCCACCAAGGCTTCCCCACGCCACGGGGGTGGGGCCAGATGAGTCAACAAAGGGCCGTGTCTGCTTCTTACAAGCTTCATGTTCATTGGCTGGGAAGTGAGGATTGACATGCTGTTTGTCCAATGAATGACTTTGAGGCCTTAGGGTCCTGAGCTACCTGCAGGTCCACACAAGTCCTGCCCTTTCAATTTTGCTATTGTCTGAAATCTATAGTAGTCCAATATGGAGGTACCCTGGGTGCAGTAATTTTCAAGGGTGTCATAGGAATTTTAAAAACGTGGAATACCTGACTAGTTAGGGGCACTGACTTTTTTACATTAAAAAGATGACAATGGGAGATATCTGTAATAATACCAACAATAAAAATATATTTAAAAAATTGATAATGCCAACACACTAGCTGTCAGTGTGAATGAATCAAAATTGTACTTCCCCTTCCCCCCCAGATCAGTCATAAATATATTTTTTGGTGTGCCACAGAATTTAAGTAATTACTTTATGTGTGTCATGAGATGAAACTGGTTGAAAATCACTGCTGTAAAGGGCAGAGAATAAAAATTTTGGGTTTGGTAACTCAGAAGTACATTTGAAACTACTATGTAGATACTCATGTAACAAGAGAGAAAACAAATGTCCACAACTATTTTATTCTTGAAACTAAAAGTATAATGCTAATTGCATACAATTTTTATAATAAAGGTCTATTAATAAGAAGAGTGTACGTCTTTTGGGAGAATAACATTTTGCTTAATTGTGGTTCAAAGTTAGTGATCTCTATAAAAATTGATTGTGTATGCTCATCTGTTGAACTGTAATGAGGTTTTACACAATTTATCTTTTTAAAATATGCTGAGTGTTTTTAAAGGGTTTAAAATGCATGTTCAATTAGCATACAAGGTTTTCTCATTTATATAATAGATGCATTTTCATCTGCTTGAGTACAGAAAAGGGTTAGAATCTGAATCAATTTATGACTTCAGAGATGTGCTATTTCAAAAATGTATTCTATAGAATTTACTTAAATGCTTCTACCACCGATGCTTTAAATAAGCAAAGCAGATGATATCATTCCTTGAAATTGTTTTTAAACACTAGCATTTTAACTGAAATACAGGTAAAAATCTAAAAATTCCTGGTACAGTGCCTGCATATAGTCTTAGTTAATATGGGAATTGAATGTACAATGAAAAAATTATCATTTTCTTTATCCTTGGAGCAGAGGGAGGGAGAGAAAGGAGGAGTGGAAATATGGTTTCAGTACTTAAGAGCTGAATAGAAGAACATTAAATCTTTCATATTGCCAACAACTGCACAATGAAGAACAACTTTGTATCTCATCAATTTTATAATTCATTCTCAATTCAAAAGTTAGGTTCCTCTCTATGTATGTCAATTAATTCAAACCCCATATCCTCCAAAATACAAAGAGAATTTTAATGGTATTTCTTAAGTAGAAGATCAAACACCAAAGGGAATCCCTCCTTCTGACATCTGCTGATATGATTTCACCAAAGTAGAAAGCTAACACTTAAATATGAAATATCTTAGCCAAGTAAGAAACTGCAGCTGTTAGGGGTACTACCTCACTATATGTATTACATATTAAATCAAACCCAGCATTAAATATGCTTGCACAATTATGCTGTGAATTAGATAGCAGTGATGATGCTAGTGAAAAAGGGCTATTATTAATCCTAGAAGAATAAGGGGAAGAATGTGAAAACAAGTAGAAAGTCAATAGAGAGTTGGTCATTTTCTGATTAGGAAAGGTAATTTTAAACATAGAAATATAAAAAGGAAAATATTACCTTATTCCCTCTATAAGTAAATGATATGAAACATTTATTTTATATAACAGAGAAGAACAGAGCTAAGTAATTCAATTCTAATGCAGCATTATAAATATCCTGTTCCCTTACTCACCGTTGATGGCCTGTCTCACAGCTTGCCTGCATTGAAACTACCCTACACAAAGTCCTTTGTCAGGTTAGGCCAGTTTCCAGGGCACTGGCTCCTCATCTCACTCAGGATTATGACAAAGATGTAAATTTTGGTGCAGTTACCCAAGCCTCAGTGTTTCAAGGTATAGATTTTTTAGCTGATGCTGTACCATTACTACAGGGCCAAAGAGAAGAACAGTGATTATTGAACAGAGTTTGGGCAGTCCCAAATTAACAAAAGATAGTGTGATATTTGCAAAGTCCATTGCCTTAAGTCTTAAGGCTTAAGAGATAAATATAAAAATATTGGTGCTAAACCTGTTCAAGATGTTGCCAATAATGCAAATGAAGAGGCTGGGAATGGCATTACCACTACTAGTGTACTGCCACACTATCTTGCCAAGGAAGGCGTTGAGAATATCAGTGAATGTGCTGATCCAATGGATATCAGGAGATATGTGATGTTAGCTGTTGATGCTGTAATTTCTAAACTTTAAAAACAGTTGAAACCTGTGACAACCCCTGAAGAAATAGCTCAGGTTGCTACAAAATTTCTGCAAATAGAGACAAAAAATTGGCGACATCAGCCGAAACTGGTTTGGCTCAGTGGTAGAGCATCAGTCTGCTGACTGAAAGGTCCCGGGTTCGATTCCGGTCAAGGGCATGTACTTTGGCTGTGGGCACATCCCTGGGGGGGGGGGGGGATGTGCAGGAGGCGGCTGGTCGACGTTTCTGGCTCTCTATCTCTCTCCCTTCCTCTCTGTAAAAAAATCAATAAAATATATTAAAAAAAAAAGAAATTGGTGACATCATTTCTGATGTGATGAAAAAGGTTGGAAGAAAGGGTGTCATCACAGTAAAGGATGGTAAAACACTAAATGATTAGTTAGAAATTATTGATGGCATGAAGTTTGATTTGGGTTATATTTCTCCATAGTTTATTAATACAGCAAAAGGTCAGAAATGTGAATTCCAAGATGCCTATGTTATATTGAGGGAGAAGAAAATTTCTAGTATTGAGACCATTATACCTGCTCTTGAAACTCCCAATGCTCACCAGGAGCCCTTAGTCATAACTGCTGAAAATGTAGATGGAGAAGCTCTAAGGACACTTGCTTTGAATAGATTAACAATTGGCCTTCAGGTTGTAGCAGTCAAAGCTCCAGGTTTAGGTGACAGTAGAACCAGCTTAAAGACATGGCTATTGATATCTGTGGTGCAGTGTTTGGAGAATAAGGATTGACTAGAAATCTTGAAAATGTTCAGCTTCACGACTTAGGAAAAGTTGGAGAGGTCATTGTGACCAAAGGTGATGCCTTGCTCTTGAAAGGAAAAGGCTCAACTAGGGAAAAACATATTCAAGAAATCACTGATCAGTTAAATATCACAACTAATGAATATGAAAAAGGAAAACCTAAATTAATGTCTGGCAAAACTCTCAGATGGAGTAGCTGGGCTGAAGGTTGGTGGGACAAATGATGTTGAAGTGAATGAAAAGAAATAGTAACAGATGCTTATCTTCAATGCTATATGAGCTGCTGTTGAGTATGGCATTGTTCCTAGAGGGGGTTGTGCCTTGCTTTGGTGCATTCTGGCCTTGGACTCATTAATTCCAGCTAATGAAGATTTAAAAAATTGACATAGAAGTTATTTATAAAGCATTCAAAAATTCTGCAATGACGATTGCTAAGAATGTAGGTGTCAAGGGATCACTGATAGTTGAGAAAATTATGCAAAGTTGCTCAGAAGTTAGTTATAATACTATGCTTGGAGATTGTGAATTTGGTGGAACAGGAATAATTGATCCAACTAAGGTAGTAAGAACTGCTTTATTGGATGCTGCTGGAGTGGCCTCTTTGTTAACAGCAGAAGCTGTATTGACAGAAATTCCTAAAGAAGAGAAAGACCCTGGAATGCATGAGAATGATAGAATGCATGAGAGTGGGAGGTGGTATGAGAAGTGGCATGTTCTAATCCTAGAATAGTGCTTTACCATCATTAATGAGAACTGTGAAAGGAAGCTGAACACAGTGCTCTGCACAAAAAACTTCAGAGAAGTAGGTTGAAGGAAATGATTGAAGACAAGGCTGGCTGATGTTTAAGAAAATTGCTATAACCATCAGTTACTTCTTTCAGTTGACAATGTACAATGGTTTACTGTTGTCATTGTCCATGCTTACAGATAATTTATTTTGTATTTTTTGTTTTATTTATTTAATCATTTTTCATTTTCAATTACAGTTGGTATACATCATTACATTAGTTTTAGGTATGCACCCCAGTGACCGGACATTACATAATTTAATACTTAATCATCCCAATAAACCCTACAACCATCCACCACCACACCTAGTTATTAGAATATTATTGACTACATTTTTTATGCTGTACTATATATCCCCATAACAACCAATTTGTACTTCTTCATCTCTTCACCTTTTGCACCCATCTTCCCAATCCCCCTCCCATGTGGCAACCAACAAAAAGTCCTCTGTATCTATGAGTCTATTCTGCTTGTTAATTTTGTTTTTAAATTCAATTGTTGACAGATATTTATTGCTAAGTATTTATTGCCATCTTATTGTCATATTTTTATTTTCTTTTGATCTACTTAAATAAGACTGTTTAATATTTCATATAATAACTGGTTTGGTGGTGGTTAACTTGAGATTTTTTCATATATGTGAAGCTCTTTGTCTGCCCTTCAATTCTAAATGATACTTTGTAGGGTAATCTTCATTGTAGGTCCTTGCCTTTCATCATTATGAATATTTCTTGCCACTCCTTTTGTCCAGCAAAGTTTGAAAAAGAAGCTTACCGTCTTATGGTAGCTTCCTTGTAGGTAACTACTTTTCTCTTACTGCTTTTAAGATTCTCTGTTTGTTTTGGCCCTTTTGCATTTCAATTATGATGTGTCTTAGTGTGGGCCTCTTGAGTTCATCTTGTTTGGGACTGTCTATGCTTCCTGGATGTGTATGTCTGTTTCCTTTACTAAGTTAGGGAAGGTTTCTGTCATTATTTTTTCAAATATGTTTTCAATTTCTTGCCCACTCTCTCTCCTTCTCACCCCCATGATGCAAATATTGGTATGCTTAAAGTTGTCCCAGGGTTTCCTTACACTTTTCTCAATTTTAAAAATTCTTCTTTCTTTTTGCTGGTCTGATTAGCTATTTTGT